TTAAAGACTAAAAACCATTTCTGTCCGGTGGATCCTAATAGTTGTTTTTTTACCTGTGCGGCACTGACTGAGGACACTGTAAATTAACACGCCTTTGTTTGCGCGTACGGTCAACTTAAATGCGACCGCGTGAACAGAAAAAGAAGAATGGGACGAGCGAGGCAGCAATTCTTCTTCTCGGATTGAATGTTTGGAAGGGCCGAGTCAAAACAAGGCGTGCAGGGCGGTCGAGGCCCTTTTGTCAGCCGCCACTTTGATCTCTAGCGCACAGTCAAAAAGCCGAATTCCACGCCGCCAAGGGAATGGAGAAAAGGCATTTTGCAATTGTAAAGCGAGTGATCTATGGAAACAGGATGTGGGCCAAACAGACATACAAGTACAATGTGACCTTAAATCTGTTTGCTATTGTTCGGTTTCAATGAAAGTCTCATGGATAGGTAAACAAGTTTTGTATAAAATGAATGTTCCTTTATTTTGCCGCCAAATGTACAACACTCCAGATTTAACTGTGCGGTATGAGGCACGTGACTCTCTAAGCAACCTAACATGAATGATTTGGCTAAGAAGCTTAAAATTAAATAAAGATTGAAACCGTTTATGTTTGGAAAAGAACTAATCTATTTTCTACTTTCTCAAATAAAAAAATTACCAAAGTTGTCATGATGTTTCTATGATCCATCGCATTTATTTCGGTCCATCTATACGAGAAAAGTACTTTGGGAAATTTGGATATTTTACACTTCAGTGAAGAAGAATTTGCATTTATAAAGAGAGTATAAATGAAAACAGTATGTGGGCCAAGCAGACATACAACTACGGTATGGCCTTAATTCTGTTTGCTATTGTTGGGTTTCTATGAAAATCTCGTGATGTGGGAAAAAGAGCTTTGTGTGGAATGAATTGTTGTATAATTTGCCGGCAAAAGTAACAGGTTATCAGCTTTACAGATCATACGATATCAATCCTGTTCGTACAGGTGTCACCAACCTGTCAGTGAAGGTGTTCAAGATCTCGCCACACAAAATTCGTTCACTCTGCTACGCTGTATAGACGGATCACAGTTATAGTTACCGACAAGTTGTCGACACTGTACGAACAAACCTTTCAGGTTATGAGACATGTGACTATCGAAACCATTTACATGGTGTCCCAATATTCGTTTGTCCGTTAGGGGGCGTCAAAGTTTTCTTTTTAAAACGCATTTTTTTCAGATATTTTTGGAACCGATAGTCTGATTTGAATGAAATTTGGAACACACGCTAGACGTCCTAATATTTGACTTTCACAAAAAACTTAAAAGGTTTCGATAAGGGTGAAAACTACCCCACATAAATTATGGCAGACTTTTTTCGCTACTCTCCCAACGGCTCTGATTTTTTTATTTCAAAGATCCTTTAATTTACTCCAGTCCTTGTCATTTATAAAAACAGAGCATCTCGTATAGATTTTGAGAATAGAGATGTTTTTCAGATCTGGTTTCTAAAAAATGTTCTTATTACGTGAAGTGTTAAAATCTAGTAGGCATCTAGTTGGCGGAAATGTGGGATGTTAAGACAGAGGCATATTATTTTTGACAAGTTTCATAATTTTCAAACTAATGAGTAATGTTTGAGTTCATTATAGATTGTTAATTTGTCGCCTGTTCTTCATAAATTTTGAATTAATTAACGTTGGAGATTATTTTTAGTTATGTCGTTTTTGTTTCTTTTTCTCGTGAATATGGAGTATCATTTTGACGAGCATATTGATATGTTGTTAGTACTTGCATTATGAAGCTTGTTATCAATAATAATCTGACATTGTCATAATATCCCACATTTCCGCCAATTACATGCGAATTAGATTTTAACACTTCATCTAATAAGCAAATTTTTCAGAAATCAGATCTGAAAAAACAATACAAGATGGCCTGTTTTTAGAGACAAAGTAAATGAAAGGATCATTTAAATAATAAAATTGAGAGTCGTTGGGAGAGTTGCAAAAAAATTCTGCTATACTTTAACTATGGGTGGAGGTAGTTTTAACCCTTCTCGAACCCCTTCGAGTTTTTTTTATAAAAGGGCGTCTAGCAAAGCACAAGTGTTCCAAACATCATTCAAATCGGACTATCGGTTCCAAAAATCTGAATAAATGTGTTTTAAAAAGCCTTAACTCCCTCTAACGGAAAAAACGAAGCATTTTTGCATAGAGGTAAATCATATCCAATCAACTTATTTTGAGTCTTAAAATACGTGATATTTCTAAGTCCACGGAATATTCGAACGCCCTATATATATATATATATATATATATATATATATATATATATATATAGGTGAAAAATTAAAGCTTCCGCCTTTTGTTGGGTACTTACTACTACAAAATTTAAGCAAAGAGGACTCTTCATACTTTTATAATTCTCTCAAGTTATATATATATATATATATATATATACGATCAAAGATTTGATTAAGAAGCTTATTTGTTATTCTGTTTATTATTGCCCAATAATTGAACATGTTTATAGAATTTTTGTATATTTTCTACTTTTTCAAAGTAATAAGTTTCTGTGATCCGTGGCGTTTGTTGTGATCAATCAATATGAAATGAAGTACAATGTGACGTTAACTCCAATCTGTTCGCTGTTGATGTTTTTCAATAAAAGTGTTATGACGTAGGAAAACAAGCTTTGCGCGGAATAAATGTTTGTACACTTTTTCATAAAACACACAACAACAAATATTTAAACAGAAAATGCCATTCATTGCGCTACATCTTTAAACCCGATATGGTTGTCAAGACCAATTTCAAGTAAATTTTTTTGCAGGGTCTGACATACAGAAAATCAATGGGGCAAATTTGGTTGTGTGTATTAGATATTCAGTGAAATTCTAATGACCTGTTTAGCGTCAGTGCTGTCAAAACATATGAAACATCAATTTATTGAGTTCATTTATTATTTGTAGGCATGTCAACCTAAACAATGTTTTAGTGCTTTGAGATACTTTATGCATTTGTCCAAATATTTTAACACCTCTATCTTGTTCATATCTCAATTATTTTTACAACCTCAACGTGTCATATTTTACTATGGTTTCTATAAAATGTCGAGCTTTCTGTCCACTGTTTGTGTTTTCTTCGCACTTACTCAATCTCCTATTTCTTATCTCAGACTTAAGCCTAGTTTATACAAAGCGTCTTTAGACACACGTTACATCTTTGACGTAACGGAAGGGGATACATTTAAGCATATATTATAAATACTATAAATGAATATAATACATTATGTACGTGTTGATATAGGGTGGTCCAAAAAAATCTCTCCAGTGACATCGCTTTGACGTAAAATTGAAATTACAATATACAGAATAATTTACACTGGTTCTGTCATTCTAAATAATAATTCTAAATAATGTAGACATCTGGAAATTCATGCATGCATTTTTATACCTAGTTAATAGAGTCTGGGCGATGACAAATACCACATACGTAAATGTTAATTAGCCTTATAGATGAAATTTATCACACAAGAGTTAGGCTTAAACGTCAAACGTTAACGTTGCCTGCGTCACCAATCTTTATTATTTAGTAATATTTTGTATGATAATGCAAGCAATTGATTTTTGAGGCAAGTGGTGTTTAGGAAATACAGGCATCTCCATTTGATATCAATAATATTTTACCAAGTAATATATGAAAAATACTGAAATAGTTCAGTAAATTTAAGGTTTCAGTTGCACGAGAAGTATGCCGTTCAAATCTGTATGAAATATCTGAAATCATATCATATAAAAACTAGGATTCATTAACAAAGAAACTCCAAGCAAAGGTACATTTGACGATGTTGAAGCCATAGACAATGCTTATACTCAAAATACGATACTTGCTCACATCTACAAAAATAATATACTCTAAAATACCAGTGAAAACAGATCTGCTAGAACTTTAGCGATGACTCAAAGTGAATTTGTAACTTTTTTGGGGCCACCCTGTACTTTGTTCACTGGCCAATAAAGCGAGAGGTTGAAAGCAAAAGTAAACAAGACCGTCTGTATGCTTCACATAGTATCTTTTAGATTGGAATTTTTCAACCATACCTACATTTTAGAGAAAGTAAGGCCAACGAGTCAAAAAGTTCCTATAAATATGAGTTCTGTTATGTCTACTTACCGAGATACATGGTGATGCAGTTATAATTTCTAAATCGTGGTTTTTGGAAACTCATCAGCATGGTCTAGACTTGGTCTCTGGGACAACGAACGAAAGCATAGCAGCTATCCGCTATCCAGGATATAAGGTCTATGGCGCTCTTATTTCGATAGGGTCTAGCTCATGAACTGATGATATATATAGAGTCAACTTACTTGACGCCTTTTGTCAATGATGCATTTATTTTACAGACTTTCTTGAGGCAATGTTGTGAGAAAAATAGGCTTAAATATTTCAGCTAAAATTAGCACAAACAAATTAAAGATGTTATGGTTTGATAATACCTTGACATGGTTATTGGAATATTAATTTTCTATGTGTAACCCGATCCCTAATTACTGCCGTCAGTGGCGTAGGTATTTAGAACGTCCTCCATTTCGGCAATGTGACATTTTGGGGCATAAAATAAGTAAGCAGGTAAGTACTTTTGATAGCACTGAACGATTATTCATAGTGCATCAGTTCAGTTTATTACGTAGTGATGTCGTATGATTAAGTTGTAGTTCCTGAAAATCAAAACGCTTCCGTAGAGGATGATTCATTTCTACTCGTTTCATTATTCTTGTCAGTAACTAATGTTGATTGTTTTTCTAGATAATATTTTATAGCATATACATAATTAAACCGTCACCATTTATTACACGTCCTTTTAACAATGTCCTCCAGCAAAACTCGAGGCGACTTTCTCTAATAAATTTCTTTACGACAATAACATTATGTGCAGAGGTGTAAACCATTCAACAACTTGCCAGTCTTTTAAGTTATGAACAGTTGTAAGATATTACTAATATTCAAAATAGGATATAACTATGGTCTTACTTACTTTTGCTTCTACAAGAATATAAATACGGTTAAGATTTGTCAGAACATATAACAATAATGCTGCTTCTGATAAAGCGAATAAGGGTTACAATGCAAATGCAAATTTAACACTATACTGACAAATATATCAGACTAAGTTGGTAAGCTTTCTAGAATAAGTTCATATTTTACCAACTTGTGATATATTGTGCCATTCTATCCTCGTTCCTGGACTGTGAATTATTTAATCTTTTGTATTTTATACATTGGACGGAAGTGGTAGATTCACATAAGTACAATGTATTAGGCAAGATAGTATTTAAAAAAACCACATTGGGCTTCGGAGCTACAAGAACCTGAAGGGCCTGAGTGAAAACTGCGGTTTCTTAATAAACCCTGTATTATACTGCAGTTAAATTTCTACAGCATACTATCCGATCAATGCCTCTTATGGCGGTATCTGAGAAAAAAAATTAACACCTTTAGATCTTCAGGGATGGACTAGCTTCAATAAATTATTGCTAAACTTTTGTGCTTGATCCTTTAACTGGGAAACATGTATTCTTGTTTTTCTGGGCCCTGAGTCCTAAAGAAAGCCTAAAACTGGGTTTGATATTCTGAAATTTTCCTATATCTGGAGTTTTTGTGCGTCGCCGATTAGGATTATTACCAAAATTTCTAGGTTTTTAAAATGGCGGAACCAATAAATCGGAATCGGTACCATAATGACAAAATAGTAGTAAAACAAACAGGGTTGATTTTATTGATACAGGACTCTGTTTACCAAATATGTTATCATTGCTTGTCGCCATATAGATCGTTAGAAGTTCAGCAATACGTCCCTGACTTCTGAAACAATAACCTGTTTTCTACGGATATTGATAGACAGTTTTTAGTGTTCTTATTTTTGTGCTTCGTTATGGTTTTAGTTATTTTGATTTTTCAGAGTAGCGACACAATTCTTTGATCCGTGATCAAAATAAGAAGTTATTTACGGAAAATAACGCGTATTTAGCAAGGTTGCCGAAAAGCTTAATTAAAATATTTAAAAGAAATATAACATATAAAAACAAATGCAGGAATTTAATAGGCAGTGTTATAAATGAATCAGTTGTTTTGTTTTCCGACATATGCAATGTGGTAGATTTTATTCAAGTTCTGCTGGTTTTGTATTACCTGTCGTTTCGCGGTTCTATGATTCCAGACTTATACATTGCTTAACCGGTTTGGTGCAATCATAACACAAGTATTACCAAAACTTTTCCATGAAATATTTTCAGTTTTGGAACTTTGGAGTTAGTTTCACGTCAAAATGAAACCTGTCATTATTGTCAATAGTCAGTACTGTGAAATTCGCACGGTTTACTTTGGTGGTCATAGAAATTCTTTCTCGAGCCACTTTCATTTGATATAGCTGTCAAAAAACACAACGCGCGATTTAACGATTTCTTATTTTTGTTGCTCTGAAAACTTTCTATTTTTTGAAAAAATCTCATATCTAGTTCTGTACTTAACGGGCCTATACTTTCGTAGAGGAAGCACGTGGAACTTTTTATAGGAACTTTTAGATATCTTTTAGTGTTATACATTTACATTACTTCTTATATTTAGAACTTTTTATCTAAGTCGCATACTAAATTAGGTCCAGAAATGAGAACAGATCTTCCTAGTCATCGGCCCTACTACTTCAATTCTGCAACCTCCATGGAATCAAGTATTCTCCTATCCTATAGAGCACTTTAGCATACCAATGCACACCTACCATATACTCTTGCCTAGCCTGTTTCTCTCTCAAAGGGCTACTCCAAGACCTCAAAGGCCTACTGAAGACGCTCCATATCCTCCAAAGGCCGTGCCTCAAGTTGGAGGTTATTCTAAGTGGTAGGAATGCCCAATGGGCAATTTGTTGGCTATCTACTGTGGCGTAGCAAGAAGCTGCAACTCCATCCACCACTACCGTGCCGGCAGAGGTTAGAGGCGCGTATACGCCTTTCGCGAGTACGGTTTCTATTCGGCTGACAAATTCTTCTCGCAGGACATCTGGAATTCAAAATATGGCATTAATATAACTTCCCAATGTAGCATATTCGAAACACAATGGCACTATTCTTAGATCAGAAAGCTTATCCAAAAATAACTTAAAAAGCTTTTATTTGCCGGGTGCGTGATGATAAAGCCACCCAGCGGATGTTGGTCTGAAATATTTGTGCTTGTGGATAATAATGCATATATAGCAGTCGATTTGAGATTAGGAATAATTTGAATTCCAAGCCGACAATTCTCTTATGATCTGACAAATGATGACAACGCGGTGGACAAGAACGGAGACATCGTCGGATATAATATAGGTGTGGTTCCTATGATGGAATCTCAGCCAGTTTCTTAATTTACAAATACTATTGAAATTACATTTTTCAACTAAAACGCAGGCCAAAATCTTTCTCTCTCTCTTAGACTGTCGAACTATTTTCGCTTCCTACGCGAGTCGACGAGGAAGTTTTGTAAGCCCGAAAAATTTCGAAATTAATATATTATCACGAGAAAACGTGTCACTCATTTCCGTCGGCCCGTGTGCCGCACAGGTATCATCTAAAAAACCTATAAAACGTCAAAAAACCTATAAGAGGTCGACTTGCAGACTAGGTAGTTTTTAGGGCGCAAACAGTCGTTCCACGTTTGCTCACTAGGATCGTTGTGAACGTCCATCTATGTAGGAATCACTCAACTAAACTACGCATTATTGGTTGCTTAGTTTTGTGAGGCTGAGTGATCCGGGTCTGTAGTTTTTATCTCTGAGAAGAAAGTTGGTTGAATAGCAAGATCGCATCTGGATGATTATGTGTATTGGTCTGTGTATAAAATCAGTGATAGTTGCTGTGTGAGAAAATCATTACTGAATATGCCGAATATGACGGGTTACTTATATGTTGTGCTTTCTGAAGAGAGGTTATGTTCAAAGTTATAAATTACGAAAAACTGAGGAGAACTACGGGAAATCATCACCGCGCCAGCGTTGTGTGCAATTACTGTTAGCATGTATATGGCGTGTAATTCGACAGTGTACAGTGATTATAATTATTTCTTATCTCTCTCATTTTTTAAATTCAGCAAATTTGTTTATGTAATTTCCGGAATGGATTAGAAAAAGTGGATGCGTAACTAATTTCTAGCTTTGAATCTCAATTAAGTGTATTTGAGACAAGAACCCAATGTAATTATCATCAACACATACAACTTACAGCTTAGACCTCCAGTAATGCCATCTCAGAAGCAGATTTTACATCACATCAGAGCCAAAGATTGATAACAAGCCTCATGACGTTTAGGCAACACGTACAACTAAGTGCTAAGTTAACATCTTGTAGAATAACCTACATAATGTCAAAAAAAAAACAGCATAATGTGAAAAAATCGGCATAATGTCACTTTTCAAGATACGTGATACCCGTGCCCGGTCTGTCCGCGAATCCTTGGACCGCCTATAACTTGGTAAGAACCTCTCTAATTTGGATGCAATTTCCACACAAGACGAAGGAAGGACGAGGATGTCAAGGACGAAAAAGCCAGTTTTTGAAAATTGGTCCAGGTGGAACTAGAGTCAAAAACATGAAGAAAATAAAAATCCTCAAACTTCGTTTTTCGACGATTCAGATGCTTCTGTTCATTTTCAGAAAATTTTTGGAAGAGGTCGAAATTCAGAGGTAAGACGTTGTGGGAGCAGGGGGAGAGTATATGAAAATGTTTTGATGTTAGTATATTTATACGCTCCCAACCCCGATAAATATATGCATCTATTAGCCATAAATGCTACACATCAAATCTTTCCCCTTACATTTGGGTTTAAAACTTGTTAGACAAATGTTTTTAATCCGCGTACTCCTGCTATCTTTGCTCACCGCTCGGCGTAACGGTTCGGATGGTTAATCTATCTGTACTGCAGCGCACAAAACATATACACGGATTGGACGACAGATCGCTGTAACGGTGCCGCGGTAGGCGCTTCCGCGCAGTTGTTGAAAGGAACAATGTTTCCAGATGGACATTAACTACCGGTAAAGCAGGGAAGGAATGTCTAAGGATTAGTTGTTTTTCAAATACGTCAGAATTTGTTGGTAAGCCATATCCAGCAATTTTCTAATTTCCAGTATCTTCTACATTTTGCTCTGAAGTCTTGTAAGTACAACTTCAAATGATCCCATAGCGATAACCAAAGTTATATGTATAGTCTGTTAAGTTTTAAAATCAACAATTTTCCTAGATTTGCTGAGGGAGTTCCGTATGATACAGGTAGAGCAGTCTTTGGTCTTATTGAGGAGCACATAAAACCAATGTATAACTATAGAATAGCTATCAACAGATCGGAGGGTTTTTGAGCTTTTAAAGGATTAATATTATTTCTATGGACATTAGAATGTTTAAATTTTTCCATCCCTCCAGTATGTAAAGCTTACAGAATATGGAGTGCCGAAAGTACCCACAAAACGGCATAAGCATATTGTACTTGTTTTTTGACCACTTTACCTCTGCTGGAACATTCCACAAAAATATCGAGTTCGTCGGCTCTTATGATATCACTAATAAATCTTCTGTGGAAATTTTAACAGGGTCAGGTAATCAGATTAGTAATTCTGACTACAAGGGATTAAAGGATTATCGGAGAGAAAGGCAGACTGACGCACGCAAATTACATGGCTTTTCAATACCAGCAAACCTACAAGCTTCATGAAACATTCAAAATAATAATAATGGGATGAAATAGGACGACTAAAAGAGGCAATCTCCGGAATATAATGAGATAAAGATTAATTCTAAGCCAATTTGAATTGCTGCAGGTGTACATGATCTTTGGGATGACCAATCCCGCATCAATGGCGTTACTAGCTTTCACCAGGCTCAGGACACTCAGCCCACAGTCGTGTAGAAGCGATTGCCGATTGTAACGTACGACCACCGATGATGTCGCTTGACCATGGAGTGACGACGTCACACATATCTTCACCCGAATGTATGATATATTTCTAAGTTTTAAGGGTAAATGCGCGGGGACATCTATGGTGAGTGCAATATGCCTAATAAGAGCGTAGAATTAGTGAAGTTGGAAGCGTACAAAATATCTCAACATCAAAAAATTTAAATATATCCTCCCCCCTTGCAACCCCTAGCTCTCCATTTTCCCAAAAATGATCAGGATCGTCTGAAACGTCAAAAAACAAAGTTCGGCACGGGTATCACGTATCTTGAAAAGTGACATTATGCCGATGTTTTTTGACATTATGCTGTTTTTCTTGACATTATGTATGTTTTTCTACAAGATATTAACTTAGTTATACGTGTTGCCTAAATGTCATGAGGCTTGTTATCAATATTTGTCTTTGATGTGATGTAAAATCTGCTTCTGAGATGGTATTACTGGAGGTCTAAACCGTAAGTTGTACGTGTTGATGATAATTACATTGGGTTTTTGTCTCAAATACACTTAATTGAGATTCAAAGCTAGAAATTAGTTGTGCATCCACTTTTTCTTATCCATTCTGGAAATTACATATACAAATTCGCTGAATTTCAAAAATGAGAGAGATAAGAAATAATTATATTCACTGTACACTGTCGAATTACAAGCCATATACATGCTAACAGTAATTACACACAACGCGGGCGCGGTGCTGATTTCCCGTAATTCTCCTCAGTTTGTCGTAATTTATAACTTTGAACATAACCTCTTTTCAGCAAGTACAACAGAAAAATAACCCGTCGGGTACAGCCGGTAGATATACTTCATTGGCAGCATATTCAGTAATGATTTTCTCACACAGCAAATATCACTGATTCTATACACATGCAGACCAATACACATAATCATCCAGATGCGATCTTGCTATTCAACCAACTTTCTTCTCAGAGATAAAAACTACAGACAAGGACCATTTGGCCTCACAAAACATATGCAACCAATAATGCGTGTAGCTTAGTTGAGTGATTCCTCCTTAGATGGACGTTCACAGCCATCCTGGTGAGCAAACGTAGAATGACTTCTTGCGCCCTAAAAGCTACCTAGTTTGCAAGATGACATCTTATAGTAGGTTTTTTTGACGTTTTATAGGTTTTTTACATGATACTCATGCGGATCAATTTTAATTATTTGACCTTTTTATCCGCCGCCACTGGACCGAGTTTCAAAAACTACAATGCTTTTGTATCCTTGGCATAGAAGTAATATAGCGAAAAAGTTTAATCGAAATCCGAGCGACACTTCTCTAGTTATAGGCGGTTATGAGATTAGCGGACAGGCAGGCGGAAATGAGTGACATGGTTTTTCGTGATGTACAGGGTGGCCAACTATGAATGCGAGGTACTGTATCTCGGAACCTATCCAACGTAGAGGCTTGCGGCAAAAAAAGTTCTTACTAAAATCCTGGAAAATAATTTCATATAAAAATATTTCTGAAATGGCCGCTAGGGGTGTAACTGCAATCTTGAATAAAAAAAGATGTTCATATTAAGTCCGCTATATTAAAGTGGTGTTGGAGGGGGTATTCAAAGGTTTCCGGAAAAAATACCCTGTATCTTCTAAACGGCTGAGCTGATTTTAACAAATTTAGGCTAGTTGAAAAGAGCTATTCTTGGGCTACAAATGTTATTCCTTAAATTTTAATTCTTTTATCTAATTTTTCTGGAATTCTTTCTTGTTCATCAGAATAAAATCACCCTTCAAAAAATATTACAAAATATCGCTAAAAGGTAAGTAAGTAATGCTAATAATAAAAGGAATATTTTTTGTTTAAATTCATATTCACTATGGGTATATACGAAAAAGCCAACTAATAGAAGCAGGTCATAGAATACAACAAAATAAATACCTAATCAGAGCATATACTAAGTGACATATAAATCCGGACACCCAGTTTAAATGGTTTTATTTTAATAAAAGTTGGTGAATGTATTTATCTTACTGTAAATAACAAGTGAAAAAATGTTCAGCCTTATCAGTTGGACATTCCGGTTTTTATACTGCTTTTTTTTAATTCACTAACGCTCTAAAAATGAATATTTCAGCCGCAGTAAAGAATCAACGTTGGCGGATTTTGGTTCTTGATATCCTTTACGATCGGTTACGATGCCTAGAGTACGGAGACCTGTACGATTTCGTCAACTTAGTGAGTTTGATAGGGGCCGTATAGTGGGACTTCGGGAAGCTGGACTTTCTTTTCGGGCAATTGCAGTTAGAGTGCAAAGAAGTGTAGACACTGTGGTTAGGTGTTGTCAGGCATGGCTTCGAGAACGCCGTTCGCAAAGAGCAAGGGACACTGGACGCCGCCGTAGAACAACAGACCGTGAAGATCGCCGCCTAAGATTATTGGCCTTAAGAGACCGTTTCTCCACTACCAGGTCCATTGCAAATGAATGGTTTGCAGAACACGGAAGACCTATTGGCATGCGAAGTGTTTGCCGACGAATGAGAAGTTTTGGCTTGTTTTCATACCGGCCACACTGGGTCCTCCCTTTAACTCGAGAACACCGACGTAATCGCCTTGAGTGGTGCAGACAACGGTCACTCTGGGATCAGGAATGGAACAGTATTGTCTTTAGTGACGAGTCTCGATTTTGTTTAGGCATGCACGATGGTCGTGCCAGGGTTAGAAGGCGACGTGGTGAAAGGAGGAATCTACAGTTTTTTGTTGAAAGACATGTTCATCACACTGTTGGAGTTATGGTTTGGGGTGCTATAGCTCAGAGGTAACATGAACGCGCAGCGTTATATCCACGAAGTTCTAGAACCCCATCTTTTACCCTATCTTGACACCCTGGCAGATCCAACTTTCCAACAAGATAATGACCGACCACATGATGCAAGAGTCACAATAGACTTCTTTCAACATAATGATGTCACATTGTTACCATGGCCACCAAGATCTCCCGACTTATCCCCAATTGAGCACGTGTAGGATATGATGGCTAGGAGATTGCTCAATTTGCAACGTCATCCTCAGACTCTAGAAGCACTTCGAGAGGAGTTGGTGGTTGCCTGGAATGAGATACCACAGGAGGACATTGACCACCTGATCAGAAGCATGCCTAGGCGCGTTGGAGAATGCGTAGCACATCAGGGTGCATCCACACATTATTAAAGGTCAAAGGGCTTTAAAGCAGTGCAATCATTTTGAAATTTTTATCATTTACTTATTATGCTTCATTAAGTACTTATACAAAATTTTATTAAAATAAAACCATTTAAACTGGTTGTTCGGATTTATATGTCACTTAGTATAAATACCTAATCCTCAAATTGTCAATAGTTGTCAATAGTTTCGCGTTACTTTAAGCAATTTTTGTGCTTACCAAATGCATTTTATGAACGATGAAGCTGGTAATACTTTATTTTGAATGTCTTCAGAATGCCGCAGTAGGAGTTTACTCAACTCGATATCCAAATCCAAGTTATAAATTAAGGAAAAGATTGCGTGACTCTCTTGTTATGTCAATCTTAAATTATTGCGATATTCTTTACTATGTATGTCTCGACCAGTTTATGAAGAACCGGCTGCAAATTATTCAAAATAATTGCATCCGTTTTATCCATGGGCTGAGAAAATTTGACCATGTTAGCGATAAGTACCATCGTATGAAATGGCTAAAAATTGGCAAGCTAGTTGAGTACAAGTACTGAATATTTTTGCACAAGTTGATAGCTACGTCAAGGCCCGCTTATTTGAGAGGTAAGATTATATTTAGTCATGAAGTTCATAGCATAAGAGACTGTAGAATAATCAGAATACCGCCTCACTCTATGACACTTTTCAAGCGTTGTTTTTCGTATAATGCTGCCATACTTTACAATGCTTTACCAGGTAAATACAAGAAAATGTCTCCTGCCAATTTCCGTAAACAAATAAAACAATTTGTATTTACCCTTAACAGATATTGCTGCAGTATCTTTTCTTATGTATCTAAATATTATAGGTGTGTATGGGTGTATATATGTATATGTGTGTGTATATATATGTATGTGTGTATATATGTATATGTATATATGTGTATATGTATGTATTTATATATGTGTGTATATATGTATCCATGTACATCCTGTATATAGTTTTGTACTTTAGTTTATAGTATAGTTTAGTTATAACTATAACTTTTTTTATAACATCTTAGGCAACGCACATTACATAGTGCTCTGAATGTACTGACAAAGATAGTTAAGTGTAAGAGTAGCCTAGGCTAAACTTCGCTATCTTTGTCCCTCACCTGTATAACAAATAAAGCGTTATTATTATTATTATTATTATTATTATTATTATTATAAATCGGCGTCTTTGCGATGTGAGAGTTATTTCCCGATTAGTGGCGAGCTTATCAGCCAATGGTAGTTTTCGGCCTACGTTTCAACGGCAAAGAGTTGAAAGAACACAAGAAAATAGTAACCGCATACTGGGATATATTTAACGAAATCCATGTTAACACAAGGGCATTATCCCTTGAGTTGGGCATATCATGAACAACGGTTCAAAATATTTTTAAGAACCATGGGTAAGTTCTAACGGCCATAAAAATATAGGAATTTATTTGAATTTAACTTTTTTTAATTACTTTTAGAATGCATTCATATCATATCGTTTTGCTTCAGTCATTGAAAGAGGAAGACATTAATCTAAAACTTGCTTGATTTTTATTTATGGGGACGGTTAAAGGACATCGTGCTTCAGTCTCAACCTAAAACCAGAGAAGATGTGAAAAAATGGTTTCGTAATGCAATACGTAACATGCCGAGAGCCGAAAGTGAAGCTGAAGTTTTGTCTACTCATGAGGCTTCGGGAATGCATAGAGCGTAAGGGTCAACATTTACGGAAGCATTTAAATTGATCCTTTTTAGGGCCACAACTCATTAATAAAAAGAAATTCTAGAAAAATTAGTTTGAAGAAGTAAACATTTAAGGGATCTTAGGTTGGGAATAAGATATCGAGATGCGGTTTTCGAGAGCTTCCCTTAAAAATCATTTAGCTCCTTTTTACAGGGTGTTTTTTATGGTAACATTTGAATACCCCCCAAAAATTTATTTTTAGATATACAGCAAAAATTGTCAAAAAAGGGGTATAGTATATGTCGCTTTGAAACCAAACATAGACGTTTTTCAAGGTATTTTTCAGAATAGTTAAGATGCCGATACGAAGTTATAGTACATCAAAACATGGTTCTTTGGTCGGTTCACCTCATGTATTTCATTTCGACGTTGAACCTGTTTTTCTTGGGCTGTAACGGAAATTGATTATACGCTTGATATGGGCTGAAGCAAATTAAAAAACAATTCTATTATAGCCTTACCTGCACTATTAATTAACAACCTATCTCCGACTTTCACGTTTCCCGCAAACTCTACTTGTCCCAATCCTTCCGAACTGAGTACCAAATGGTTGGGGGTTACAGTAAACGTGCTCCCAGAGATCAAGGAAAACCTCACGAACTCCCTTTTCTGATCCGGATTGTAGTCTATGAACATCAGCATCTCGCTGTAGAATGCCTGCTGGGTGTACGGGTCTACAGCCAGGATGAGATCACCGATTTGCAGATCGGATAGCCGCTTGCTGCCGGTAGGAGTGGTGACTGTTGAGTTTGCAGTGAAGCACCCACCGAATTTCGAGCCTACGGAAGATTCTGGAATAAGAAATTAGATATAAGAATGAAGCCAAGGTTGGTAAGCGCGAATAAAGCTGTGAAATAAAGAATAATAATTACAGATCTATCTATTTTTGATAATCAGCAAGTGTTCTTCCTACTAGGATGAGGACGCATAATCTTGTGATATGAATTACAAGTACCAAAAAAGAATCCTCCAATACGGTACTTATCCATGTGCATTTTAATGTAAATTTGACATTAGTCATTGATCAGTTAATTATGACTGCTACAACTTATTAAAAATGTTATTCTGTGCCTGATTGCGGTGAAACCACTATTAGTGGGCCTACTAAGCTCTATATCGATGGTCTAGTGACAATACTCTACGTATCATCAAAATTTAAAAAAATTAGTTTTCGGTATTTGTGAATCCATCTATCAGTAAGCTATCAAGTTGAATGATCAGCAGCAATGTACGCTCATAGAATCCTTTTTGCGTGACTATCTATCTGTAATAACAGGTCAGATATCACTAATGATATACCAGGTAGTATCAATGTTCTGTTAATTTTCGAAGATTCAAGATTTTTCTATTTCTAGTTGTTTTGGTGTATGGATAGAGAGTATTTTGCTTGAGTTAAAGCGTGCTTCTAAACGTCTTTTTAAATCGAAATTTGTGGCTAATTATTTATGATAAAACTAAACACACAAACAACAATCCAAGGTTTGATACGTATTAGTTTTGATAGTTCGAGGATGAACCTATATTAAAAAAATGGTTTTATGCTTTTCCTGAAAAAGTAGCCTAATGCTTGATACGGGGTTTTGCGACTAGACCATCGATATGCATGTTCTTGCAATACCAAGTATGAGAAGAACGTGAATGGATGTGGACGACATGTTGTTCTTTGCCCGATGTAAGTAACAAACAAACCTCTTCAATACCACAACTATTCTTAATACTAACATTTTCAGCTACAAATTTCACATTATTTGAGATTGTGTTATATGACCCAATTTTTTTTGAATAAGGGTAATGTTCTAGAGCAGAAATTATATTCTAAAATGAATTGAATTTTCCGAAAAACATTACTTTGACGAAATACAGAGTGATTTCTACGTCACTGATGGCTGGGACAGGGGACAGAAGAAGAATAATCTCTAAGTAACTTTGTGGCGATGTGTTAATTTTTTCCCGGAGCGTTTGAATAATTTTTAATGTCATATTTTATAAACGTCAGGGTACTTCACAAAGATATTTCAGAATTGTGTTTTAAACACTCCACAACCCTTCATAAAAATGTCGTCAAGTAAGTTGACTCTGTACTTCCCACGCTACGCCGTCAGCAGTTCGCAAAGGATTATGTTTGGCATAAGCTAGCAATTCTGAGAAAATAATTAGCTTCGAAAATGTATAACAAAAAAATAAATGACTTTCCTCCTCCACCTGAGAGGAATTGCTGCAGGCGCACATCGTCGTTGCGATGACACACACAGCAACGCGGAAGCGATTGCCGACTGTGACGTACGACCACCGAAGACGACCCTTGTCTATCGGGGGACCTCGCCGCTCGTATCGACACTCGACTGTAGGAGATATTTTTAAGTTTTATGGGTAAATGTACGGGGACATATATGATGAGTGAGATATGCCTAATATGTGCGTAGAATAACTGGGGTTGGAGGCGTATAAATACATCATCAAATAAAGTATTTAGAAATAAAAGGTTTAGCTGTGGAACTGACATAATTAGGTTATCAGGATGCAATTTTACATTACATACATAATTCATTTATTTATTTTTTTGTTATAATTATGTATTTATCTAAAGACAGAAAAGGTACTTCTACGTTGTATTCAAAAATCCCAATTTTTCGGGTTAGACATTCAAGGATCCAAATGTCTCTATGTAGATATATACAGATTAATTTTTTTCGATTTCGTAAAACACATTTCATACTTTGTGTCTTGATAAAAGTACATTTTAGGAGCCATTTATTGGGAACTTTTGTGTTTCTGTTGGACGTACTTTTGCCATAGAACTATTTTCACTGTCTTTTGGATCATCACATAAACCCTAATTATTTGGATCATAGCACTGGGCTGAGGTAATGCAAAATTAGTCTTTGCCGAGATCCGACTCAAGTCGACAGCTTTTAATTTCCATACCTACTGGCGGAGAAGTATTGTAATCGCATTTTTTTAATGAGATATTAGGTTTTTTGGATATTGTATGTGTACATCATTGATTTCTGCCTATCTATCGGTCTGTCCGATAATCTTCTAACCGCCTATAACTTGAAAATTATCGCCCGGATTTCGATCGAAATCGTAAAAAATATTACTACTACGCAAAAGCTTTGTAGTTTTTGAAGTTAGATCCAGTGGCGGCAAAAAAAAGGTCAAAGACGAAAAAGAATAAAAATCGCTAAACTTCGTATTCTGATGCTTCAAAGGTTTCGGATCATTTTTAAAAAAAAATTAAAGGTAAAACATAGGCTTGAGGATTGTAGGGGGGTTATTAGGGTTTGTCTCAATTTTTTGACGTTAGTACATTTATACGCTCCAAATCAAGGTAATTCTACTGGTGAGGCAGGGAAAGAATGTCTATGGATTAATTGTATGAACTTGTTTGACTGACCTTTTTCTTAGAGGGTCTAGTTTGTGTTGAACATTAATCCTTTATGAACTGATTACGGCATTGCGGGGGAAATGCAGAATCAACCTACTGGACGCCATTTTTTGTCATTAAAAATAATAATGGAAACAAGAATGAACTTGAATCGTCAGAAATAGCCCTAGGGTACATCCGTGATGACCTTCAGTGTCTGTGACCTAGGCGACTCACGAAAACCATGAATCAGACTTTATGCTAAGCGAATGGTTATTAAATATCGGGTTTGTGTCATTTTTGTCACAGACGATTTATTATTTACTGGAGACGAGACACGAAAGAAACATTTTGCATGACACAAAATCTGTCATAATGTTCCGGAACATGCACGAATAACTATGCGAAAAAAAGGACTGTATAACACGGACTGACCGACCTCTTGAATATAATACCTGTAATATGACATGATTAATAGGATACAAATGGCGGATAATTTATATAAAGCTACACAAACATTGTTGCTGTCGGTGCTTTATGGGATGATCTTCGAGAAATAAACGATGTTTGGCGAAAAAGGAAAACCTTTGTAAAATGTATATTTTTGTAACGTAAACGTGGGTGTTAAGTCTACTACGATTTGTCAAAAGAAAACAGATCAAAGTCTGAAGCATACCCTCCAGTAAACGGTTCTCTGTTTTGGCACAGTGCTATTTCAGAGGTAAATCCAGATATTGTCAATTTCAACTGGCATTCGACAAAAGTCATCTATAGGTGGTTGCAGAAAAATAAGTTGAAAAACTTTTAATCGTCCAACATATGTGATGCTGTTGCCTGAATCGACTACCAACTTGAGAAGAGTATGATAGACAAATGTTTCAAAAACATTGAGCAAAAATGGAAGGGACGATTCTACATACCATTCTAAGACTATTTTACCTTTTTATCGATATCATTTTTTAAGATAACCTTTGAACTACATTGCGTAATTTAACTAAATTTTGACAGTATGATGTCTATGGAAAATCGTTAACTCGTTTAGACGCAAGCGACTGACTAGAACTAAAGCAATCTTGCTAATTATCCTTTATCTGAAAATGTATTCATGTTCGAGTCCAACAAAATGAATCTCTTTCGATGTCATCGCTCGATTCATAGTCTCCAAAAGAGTTCGACAAAAGGTGCAAACTGGCTTAAGTGATTTGAAAATTTATATCTGGGGCCTATTTTTCAGCTGAAGAATCAGGCTTTCGAAAAATATAATTTTGAGCCATTATTAAACAGGAGGTGAGGAAAAAATTGAAAATGCTTTTAGAATAGTGCAAAGAAACCCCTTGAATTTTTACATGTTTTGGAAATACACCGCATACACTCTTATGAAAAAGTGAAGGATATTTATTTTTGCTTCGTACGCCTCTGAGCAAGGAAATATCTATTGTATTTGCGAAAAATTTCGAAAAGGAGATAGATATTGTGTTTTCTGAATTTCATATAACATGTACATTACGAAAAACCGTGACCCTCACTTCTGTCGGTCTGTATCACTTGATACCGTTCGGATGGTGACGAAATTTTCACACAAGCTTACTATGCCAAGTAAGAGAGAGTTTTGCAGTTTTTGAAAATCGATTTAGTGGTGATGGAGAAAGAGGCCAAAAACAAAAAACGGGCTCAAACTACATTTCTTTACGTTTTAGAGATTTTCAGAAAAACATCTGTAAGGCTGAAATGCGGGGGGTGTAGGGGGGAAGGTACATGAAAATTTGTTGATCTAAGTATATTTATATACTTCACATATTTCACACATCATATATTTCCCCGTAAATTTACCTTTAAAACTTAGAATGATAGAGAAATGTTCTCGATCCCCGTACCCCTGCTTAAGCTCACCGTGCGGCGAACCGAACATATACATATACACGGACCACGTACGGAACCAACGACAAGTCGCTGCAGCGGAGCCGCGTAGATGTGTAAAGGGACAATGTTGCCAAATTGAAGTGTGTTTGACTGACTTAATTCGTTTAATTTATCTATTGTGCATGTTACTGACTTTCTCTCAGCGGATATATGTTGCGTTGAACTTAATCCTTCATGAACTGCGCACGGGGTTGCTTAGGAAAGTGTAAAGTCAACCTTCTTGATGCCATTTTTTGACCATGCTGAAGGATAACATTAGGTTTCATTGCGCTGAACGAGTCACGTCTCTACGTGCGTAAAGAGTTTTTAGTTATTGATGTACCGGACTGAAATTCGTATAAACGGGCAACCGAATCAAACGCTTAGCGGGATGGTTCTAATGACACAGATAACCCAGAAATGATGTCTTCTGTCATACGGTGTGCTTAGATGCCGCACATCATTCAACATTGAGTTACATATTGCAAAAATATAATCGTACTAGTAGACACATTAGTTCTTGAA